AAAACCTTATAAATATTTGGATTTAGTTTCCCAGTAGTAATGATGATCTTGATGTACCTTATCAACTATATAAAAGTTTGTAATTTTTCATATTTGAAAATGGGTATTTTTGAAAATGGATAGAAACAAATAGAAACATTTATTATAATTTATAAAAGAAAACAAGTTATTGCATACTATAAAATATTTAGATCATGATATAAAAGTATATATGAAATCATATAAATTAAAAACGAAATAAGCGACTAGTTGTAATATTGATTTGTGCCAAATTATGAGGAAAATGTTTTTTTTTTTTTCTATTTTTCCACTCACCCACTAATATTTTGACACGTCAGCGGCCCTTAGCTTTTGCTTATAAAGCTAATTTAAGCTACAAAGCTTATGTTTTGTGGTTCATTTTACATTAAATATAATACAATTAATATAAGCAATGTGTTAAGCATTGCATTAAGCATCTCTAATGGAGATGGTCTTAGCACATCGTCTATCTATCGTCGTCTCCTACTTTCTTCTGCCTATTAATTTTCAAAACTTGTAGGTTGGTCTAATAATTTGGGCTTATGTTTTGTCGTTATTAGAGCAAGTATGAACCAAATAAAATTTTACTACGAAAACAACTAATGGATAAGTCGGCGTTATTAGGCACACTGAAGCGGTCTTTGCAAAGTTCGCAACATGTGAACTCGATTTAATTTTTTCTTTTGTTAACTCTTTGCTTCTCTTACTTATTAAAATGCCAGTGTTGTAACATGGGAATGACATGCAGCGTTCGTATCCAAGCATTTTTTTCATATAAAATACAAATATATAAAACCAAAGCTTATATTTTGATTTTTGACTACATTAAAATAAACGAACGACGCATATATATATCTAACTACATAGAGTGAAACCTAATACGTGGATTTTTATTAAATATCATCCCAAATTATAAAAAGTTCCCACGTGACATATTCTCCAAAACTAGTCTAGAAGAGATAAATACCCGTTTGATCATACATTATAGTATACGTTTTATTACTTGTATATAGATTAGTTAATTATATGAATATTTATTAAATAATGTTAAGTAGTGATATTAGTGGGAGTAATTAGAATAGATGGTGCATGGGTCAAAGCGAGTTCGACAGACAGACAAGTGGTGACAAGAAGATCCGAGCGGTCTATTGACTACGCTTTTATGATATCACATGTCCCTCACATTTCTTCGTTTTCCATTTTTGTTTTTTAAATTTCCTTTCGTACTCTCTAATTTAATTCTTACCTAAATCTCTCCTGTCGAAAAATAAAATCTCTCCTAATTATTTCTCCTTAACATGATATTTTCGTGAATTTGGCACTCTCCTTAACATGAGAACGAGATATGTAATGGTGTCATTATAGTATGATTAAAGCTTTGAAAAGGGTTGTAAAAAAATTTCTATTTTTTTTGTTAATGATAGTTTATGTAAACATGATTAAAATCATTATATATTATAGCATATATGCTAAATCGTACTGAAGGATGTGTTAGAAGATGACAGAATTGAAAAAAAATCGAAATGTGTGAAGGAATTATCATATTTTTTTGGAATTGCATCTATCTCTCTGATTTGGTACACATGCTAAGCTATGTGAGTCCAAATAATTTTAAAAAATAGATGGGAAAAAAAGAACAAAAATTGATTGATATATATTCATAGAAGGAGTGCTAAATAGCAAGCAAGCAAAATCAGGCATGCATGTGGGCACGTGTGCACGTAAAAAAGAGAAAATACGCAAGGTTCAACAAATTCACACATGTGCGCACGTGCAAACAACACGCACTTCGACCAACAACTACAACACTTTTGCAAAATCTTAAATGTGTCACTTTCTGATCTCTCTCTCTCTCTCTCTCTCTCTCTCTCGCTGATAATTCCTATGCTCTCTCCCGGTTTCGATGTTCCCGTCCTCGCATGTGTTCTCTTCCCTTTTATCACTTCCTTTCATATTTGCCATATTGGTGTAAGACATAAATAGATGCTCCTCTATAGTCTATCTAGAAGAAGACGTTATTTATATATTTATGGTAGATGACTTTTCAACTTTTACTGTAGTATATTATTATATGAATTTCTGAAAATGTCACATATTGTTTTTTTTGTAATTTCAAGCATTAATTACAACTTTAACCACCTGACGCTGACCCATCTCCTTAGTTACCTCCAAGGTGAAACTGGTGGACAAGTTCTTCAACCATGGATGTCTGACATTCACATTGTAATGTCCATGCAACAATGAGACCTCCTCTTCTTCTTCTGCATTCTCGGTGCCCGTCATGAAAATCTCTGAAGATTTTTGCTGCCACTCCTTGAGCAACTTGTCAATTACATCCCCTGTTTTTGTGTTTTTGAAGTCTTTGTCGGCAAGTGTCAGCTTGTCGAAACCAGACACCTCAGGCCCAGCAAATATTATGATGCCTTTCACCGCAGGATGAGAATACGCTTCCCTGAGAATCTCTTCTATGTACTTCTCCTATCAAGCAATTGAATTGGTTAAGCAACTTTTATATATGATTATGATAATGAATGAAGATGTAATAAAGTTTTCTTGTTATTCAAGGTAAGTTGGTGACAGACCTGATCAGGGCACTTTGGCATGTCAAGCTCTGTAAGCCAAACAGGCAAACCTAAAGAGCCTAAAGTGTCCAATGCTGATCTCATGTAAGCTAAGTTAGGCTGAGTTGGACCAAAGTGACCCTGAGCTCCAATTGCTCCTTTAATGTTAATATTCCCAGTGTATGCAAGAATCTCCTCCATCTTTTCCTTAACCCTAATCGGCGCTGCGGTAACTTCTTTATGGTTCTCTATCGTATTGTACTCGTTAACAAACAATCTCACATCAGGATCAAGCTTAAAAGCAAGCTTGTAGAAACTTGACGAAGCGTTTGCACCAAGCCTTCTCTCAAAGTAATCCCAATGCACGTTCTCGTTAACCACATCCCACCCGGTTAACTTCCCTTTGTATCTCTTCATTACCGAGTTTATCCGGTTCAATGTCACATTCATCAAATCGTTTGGATCTTCTATTTTTGGCACCCAACTTGGCTGCATTTTTGGGTTGTCCCACAACACTGTATGACCTCTAACCAATATCCCATTCTCTTCTGCAAATTTCAGCATTGAATCGGCTAACGTGTAGTTCTCTTGACCGCGCACTTTCTCCGTTGTATACCATTTCATTTCATTGGTGAAGGATGTGATTTTAAACCGTGACGCAAACCATTTTCTGTACCCTTCGCTTTCTAGGATCCGAAAATTCATTCCGCAGCCTAAGAGGAAAGATGGTTTGGTTTGCTCTAGGGATATCACTGCGCCTTTTACCGCAGTTTTATTCTGATAAGTTACTTCAAATCTCACTTTGTTCTTCCTTATCTGCAGTCACATATATAAGTCATGTAAGAGCTTAAACAGCACACCGATCAATAGATAGAAAAGAACAAATATATATGCTACCTTTTGAATAAGTTGGTCTTGTTTTAGCTTCCACTCTTCTTTGGTGAACTGTTTTAGCGACACATCACTTGCAGAGATCTTTGCTTCTTTGTCATCACTCTGCTTCCACATAAAACCCTTGTTGACACAGTGGTATATACACATAGGAAGATACATATATAGCTAGTGTTGTTTGTACCTCGAAGAAAATATCTACAGGGCCTGAAACATCTGGCACAATGCCACCTTTAAGCAAAGTCCAACATCCTTGCTTCGCCCTAACTTCACCTCCATGAACGAGTCTTCCATTTTCTGTCCTGAAAACAACTTCTACCTTCTTGTCGTTCCCTTCTCTTAACTTCACCCAAGCTGTATTTCCATTAACAAAGGATGTTTCGATTTAACCAATCCAACAAACTGAACGAAACCATTCTGAGATTATCATTCTAATAGATAGAAAACTGAATCTAAACCAAAATTTAAGCCGTACCAAACTAATCTAGATAAGATTTTATTTCAATTTGGGTAATACACCTCCTAAACCAAAACACCTTGAAAACTAAAACTTGAAACAAAAGTGAAATCAGATTGAACACAACATTAAAGAATCGACCTAATTATCTCTGTTTTGAAGCAGTAACGTACTAGACAAGAAACCTTGAAATGATGATGTATAATATTATATAAACTAGAGAATGGTTTGGATATAGATAATTACCAGTGAAGCTGTATATGTTTCCTTGGAGAAGATGAATTCTGTGTACCATTTCTCTAATGTTTCTATTTCCATCTATTTTCCATTCTTCATCAGAGTCATCTTCAACAGAGCGGCTAAATCGTAGTAATCCTCGTGTTTCACTGCTTCTCGGAGGCTTCATTACACACTTTATTCCAAAATTTACCAATATTAGAATGTTTGAATTTACCACACAAAAAAAATAAAAAAAAATAAAATCACTCCTGTCCTGTAATATAAAAAAAATACAATGAGGTAGTATCTGTTTTGGTTACCTCTGTTTTGAGAGAGTCACTTTGGGAGAAAGGATCAAAGGCTATCCCTGAATGAACAAGACAAAGTAAAAGTATGCAGAGGAAGAAGAAGCCATTGTTGATCATCTTCATCTTCCTTCCTACAAAAATTTAAGAAATATCACAATTACTTTTTTATCTGTTGCTCATCATACCTTTTTCTTTTTTCTTTTTCTTCTAAAGACACACGTGTATCAGTTGAAATACGGATTCCGTATCTCACAAGTTTAGGAACTAGGATCTTAGTGAATATTAACAATCTTTTATTTTAGGAAATATAGATATGATCTTCTGCATCCATAAATTCTCAACTCTTTGAGTTTTTTTGTGTGTGTGTGTGTGTCTCTAACAACTCTGTTGTACTAAACTACTAATCCCCAAAAGATTAGAAAGTGTGATTCACTCGTGAAACGCTTGCAAGCAAAAATTTGGGTTGGTTGGAGTAAAAGCGACAAAGAAACAAAATTGTAAGATAGCTACATCAGAGTATATCGATTGGTTTCGTGCTCTATATATATATGTACACATGAAATATACCTCTGTTTTGAGAAAGGGGATATGGGGGAGAGAAAGGATCAATAGACATCCCTGTTGACACAAGACACCAGAGAAGGAAGAAGCCATTGTTGATATTCTTCATCTTCCTTCCTCCTAAACCTGAAATATTCTGACAAAATTCATTATGTAAAGCTTACTGTACTCACTGAGAATAGGCTTTATATATCAGATGGATAGCAAAATTCATTATAACTTGTTTCTAGCCCCAAAATTTGCTGAAACAAAAATGAACAGCACCTATACAGAAGAGCTAGAACTTGAATTTAACTAGTGCCTAAAAATTTTGCTCCCCCGTGAAACATTTTTGGAGTTATGTCGAAACACTTGTGTTGTATGTGTCTGGTGTGTCGTCATCTAAATATAGAGAAACTGTTCTCCAGCAAAATAATTCTTTCTTACAGAGAAATTATTTGGACAAGAATATATCAATGTATACGGTATAAAAACACACACATATCTATGCAATTGCAAACGTCTCTCCTATTTTGCTTATACATGTACAATGCTTCTTTATATTATGCATATATATGGACTACGTTTGGGATCAAGTTACTCAAAATGCAGAATACGATTGCTAACCTTGTTTTGCTGATTAACTCGTTTTTTGGGTGTTGTTGGAAGATGAAAGACTATGTTTACACAATTATACATAAATAATATAAAGAGATGTTTCTTATCATTTGACACAAAAAGGATATGATCCATGTTAAACTTTCTATACATTCTTAAAAAAACGTTGACCCCCTCAATTAGTATTTGTCATATCATTTGACACAAAAAGGATATGATCCATATTAAATTTTCCATACATTCTTAAAAAAACGTTGACCCCCTCAATTAGTATTTTTCATACCATTTGACAAAAAATAAGAGATATGATCCATATTAAATTTTCCATACATTCTTCAAAAAATGTTGACCCCCTCAATTAGTATTTTCCATATAACTTTTACACAAAAAGGATATGATCCATATTAAATTAATTTTCCTATACATTTTTCAAAAAATGTTGACCCCCTCAATTAGTATTTTTCCATATCATTTTTATACAAAAGGATATGATCCATATTAATTTTCCCATATATATAATATTCTTCAAAAAAAGGTTGACCACCTTAATTAGTATTTTTCATATCATTTGACACACATAAAAAAAAGATTATGATCCATACACATAATTTTTTTTCAGAAAACGTTGACCTCCTCAACGACGCACACGCATGTGGTCTGCGATTTTGACAATTAATGTTGGGTCAAAACATAATAAGAATGTTTGATTGCATGGAAATAAATAAGATTGGCTTAAACAAAGGAACATAAAGTTCAACAGCGAGTATATGAACGACAACGTTTAGGAAAAGTTTAGTATTACTGATAATAAAATCCACTATACTGTATATAGTAGATCAAGTAAACCATAAGGAAGTTTCGTCTCACACAGCTACAATTTAAAATAGACTATCTGCAACAATTTGTTACTGAGAATCAAACTATAATCACATACAAAGTTGTTGTAAACATAGCGTCTCAAACGGGTAAGACGAAAGTAGAGTGTTGGGTCGACAGTGAAGAGGAGTCATCAGGAGACAACGTAAAGTTGTAAGAAACTTTTGAATCGGTGAAAGGATGAGATATACTGAGATCATAGTCACCATGAAATAGTGAAGCTTCAAAGAATCCATCAGCATCAGCGACACCTGTGGTTTGGCTGCGAAACCCTCCCCATTCACGTAGCAGTTTGTCCACGACGTCTCCAGTGGGTAGGTTCTTGAAGTTCCCATCGGTGAGGCACATTCTGTAGCAACCTGCTGGAGAGTAGCCTGTCCACATCACTATTCCTTGCACCTTTGGATGCGAATGGCCTTCCCTTAGAACTTGCTCGAAGTACCAGGGCTGCAAGAATAACAAAACATAACAGACAGGTGAGAAGTGTTCATCAAACCCCGTTTTAATGGGGAAGAACAAATGGGAATCAATTAAAGAATGAGTATAATTAAGTTACCCGGACATTGGGAGGGGCATCAACGTCGACCTCAGTAAGCCAAATAGGCAAACCAGTGGCACCAAGAGTATCAAGAGCTGATCTCATATACGGAAGGTTAGGAGTGCTGAAATGAGACTCAAGACCGATCCCTAACGGAATATTTCCACCAACCCGGATAGACTGAAGCTCCCTAAGCTTTTGAAGATACCTTGCTGGGCTAGAACTTGGATCCTGAGGATGCTCTAACGTATTGTATTCATTCATGAACATTGTTGTCCGTGGATCCAAGGCATGAGCCATCGCGTATACGTTATAAGAAGATTGAGGACCCATCTTGCTCTCAAAGAAGGAGAAATGGAGATTCTCATTCACAACATCCCAACCCGCAAGCTGGCCTTTGTATCGCGAGACCACCGAGTAAACCCTTCGTTTCACTGCATTGTAGAGATCGTTACCCCACATAGATTTCACCCATTCAGGTTGAAACTTAGGGTCGTCCCATAAAATATTGTGGCCACGTACAGCTATCCCGTGCTGCTTGAAGAATCTCAACATCGCGTCTGCGGTTGAATAATCCTCTCTGCCTCTTACTCTTTCTGTGCTGTACCATTTCATCTCGTTCCCGAAAGTTGTCACCGTAAACCTTTGAGTGAACCAGTTTTGGTATGCTTGATTCCCAAGTATGTTGCTTTCTACCGCGCACCCGAAGGGGAATCTGAGTCGATTCTGTTGGATTGTTATGGTTGCGTTTGGTACCGTCTCGCCTTTGTCATTCACGACTCTGATCCTTACGTTACCTTTTCTTTCCTTGTCAATGCTCTGCTCCTGGTGAGAGTTCCACTCTTCGTGCGTGAAAGGCTGCAGAGAGACGCTATCAACCCAAATCTCAACCGTTGTGTTCTCGCTCTGCACATGACCATGGAAATATCATATATACTGGTTGAGAAAGAGCAGCCTGTAAATTTCACAACTGTAAAAAAACAATTTCGACCATGAGTATGCTTGTGTATATACATACCTGGAAATAAAGTTCCGCAGGACCAGATTCATCAACGGTGAGACCACCTTTGAGCATGGACCAGCATTTGGATTCAGCAACAACCGAACCGGCATGCTTATATTCACCATTCTTCTTGAAAACTGCTCTCACTGGAGCTTTTCCTATGTTGACTTGTAACCAAGCTACAAGGTATAACATAAAATCAATCAGATGATATAATTGTGAAGAGTGTGCTTCAAGAAACACAAAATTCAAAATTATTTTTACCCGAGAAAGTGTAGAGAATTCCTTTTTCCAAGTAAACCTTCTGTGAGACGCTGTCAGTAGATTGATTCCTCTGTGTGGCAACAACAAACTTGTTGCCTCCAAATTCTCTGAAATCAGCTTTGGCGTTTCCGAATTGTGACCAGCCTTGTGAACCATTTTGCAGGTCAGAATTCACAATGATCCCGCCATTGTACTGTGGTTTATTAGGGTTCTCTAGACACTACATCAAGAGAAAAAAGAAAAAAAAAAAGGATTCAGAACAACAGTATCCAACCAACATGTCTAAAATGAACAGAACATAGCTTGCCTCTATTGTTGCCGAGTAATCATAAGGGACGGCACATCCTGCAAAGTGCAAACGACGTTTAGTACAATATATATATTACATGACAACAGAATATAGTAAAATCATAGGCTAAGATGAGAAGAACAACTTGATAGAGAAAGACTGCAGAAGAAGGCAAGCAGCAGCAGTAGAAGCTTCATTGCAGACCTAAATTAAGAATGATCACTTTGTTTTGCAGATAATTAAGGATTAAGGGTAGTATTTATAGTATTTTTCATTGCTCTTGGTATATTCTAGTTACCAAAATAAATTAAGAAATAGATTGACTATATTTTAGTTTTATGGAAACTTATACAACACTTTTTGCTAATCAACAAAAAAATAAGATGGTGTCATAAATGAAAATGTAGTCAATAGCATAAATGATTAAATTTCCAGTCAATAGTCAATGTTCAAAGTATAATTTTTTGTATCATCCATAAAAAATTGACAAATAACCATAACCATAAACATTTCACATTTTTTTGTACCACCGTAAAATGATTCTTCTGTCTTTTTAAATGATTTTAATTTGGTATTGTAAAAATATATAGGAGATGGCTTCCATTGATATTCCGGCATATATAAACCACGATAAAAATATATATATATATAGCAAAACCAATAAATTATACTAAAATCAATAAATTAGCTAATCAAGTAGAAAAAAAAAATAACTTTCTAAACCCCCAAAAAAAAGTAAAAAATATAACTCAAATAAAGGAAACTTAAAGATTTAACAGCTCGATGAAGACTTAAACGAAATAGTTAAACGAAGTTGAATATTATTTATAATTCCATTACGCTATAAAGGCTTAAACTTAATAAGAAACCAACCCTTTCACAATGCAAAACAGATCATATGCCACAATTTTTCACTGAGGATAAAATCAAACTGCTCAAATACAAAGTAGTTGTAAAGTTATATTGTAGTCTCAAGCGGAAAAGACAAATATAGATGGCTGGGTCTGTGAAGTGGAGCCATCATCATGAGTACTCAACGTAAAGTTATAAGAAGATATTGAATTGGTGAATGGATGAGATATATTGAGATCATAGTCACCATGAAAGAGTGAAGCTTCAAAGAATCCATCAGCATTAGTGACTCCTGTGGATTGGGTACCAAGCCCTCCCCATTCACGTAGTAGCTTGTCCACGACGTCTCCAGTAGGTAGGTTTCTGAAGTTTCCATCGGTGAGGCACATTTGGTAGCAACTTGGTGGATAATAAGCTGTCCATATCACCATTCCTTTCACATACGGATGTGCATGGCCTTCCCTTAGGACTTGCTCGAAATACTTGGCCTTCAAGAAAAACCGATGTATTAGACAACTTACAAGGGTTCAAGACCACAAATAAAAGTAATGGGATGAACAAATAGGAATGGCCAGATACTGTGGGAGACTAAGGAAGAAATGATAATCCAAAAATATGATTTTGGCCTAGTTGTACGTAAATGAGAATATGAGTTACCCGGACATTGGGAGGAGCTGTAATGTCGATCTCAGTGAGCCAAATAGGCAAACCAGTGGCAGCCAGAGTATCAAGAGCTGATCTCATGTACGGAATGTTTGGAATTCTGAAGTGAGACTCAAGACCGATCCCCAATGGAATTTTTCCGGCAACCTGAATAGATCGAAGCTCTCTGAGCTTCTGCAAGTATCTAGCTGGACTAGCCGCCAGATCCTGAGGTTTCTCTAATGTAAAGAATTCATTCATGAACATTGTTGTCCTTGGATCGACAGCATGAGCCATAGCGTAGATGTTGTAAGAGGCTTTAGGACCCATCTTACTCTCAAAGTATGAGAAATGGAGATTCTCATTCACAACATCCCAACCTGCAAGCTGGTCTTTGTATCGCGAGACCACCGAGAAAACCCTTCGCTTCACTGCATTGTAGAGATCGTTACCGGACAGAGATTTCACCCAATTAGTTTGATACCTAGGGTGGTCCCATATAACATTGTGGCCACGTACAGCAATGCCGTGCCGCTTGAAGAATCTCAACATGGCGTCTGCGGTCGTATAATTCTCTCTGCCTCTTTCTTTTTCTGTGCTGTACCATTTCATCTCGTTTTCGAATGTTGTCACGGTGAATCTCTTAGTGAACCAGTTTTGGTATGCTTGATTCCAAAGTATGTTACTTCCTACCGCGGATCCGAATGGGAATCCGAGTCGCCTCTGTTCTATGGTAATGGTTGCGTTTGGTACCGTCTCACCTTTGTTATTCACGACTCTGACCCTCACGAGACCTTTTCTTGCCTTGTTAATGCGCTGCTCCTGGTGAGAGTTCCACTCTTCTTGCGTGAAAGGTTGTAAAGAGACGCTATCAACCCAAATCTCCACCGTTGTGTTCTCGCTCTGCACATGTCATAAATAGGTTGATAAAGAGAAGAAAAATGCAGAAATGTAGACAAACATTTGAGACCATGAGTATGCTAGTGTATATACAAAACCTCGAAGTAAAGATCGGCAGGACCAGATTCATCAACAGTGAGACCACCTTTGAGCATGGACCAGCATTTGGATTCAGCCACAACCGAACCGGCATGCATAGCTTCACCATTCTTCTTGAAAACTGCGCTCACGGGAGCGTTTCCTATGCTGACTTGTAACCAAGCTACAAGTATAACATAAAATCAATCATAAAATCAATCAGATGATAACACAAAATTCAAAATTAGTTTTTACCCGAGAAAGTGTAGAGAATTCCTTTTTCCAAGTAGACCTTCTGTGAGACGCTATCAGTAGATTGATTCCTCTGTGTGGCAACAACAAACTTATTGCCTCCAAATTCTCTGAAATCAACTTTGCTGTTTCCGAATTGTGACCAGCTTTGTGAACCATTTTGCAGGTCTGGATTCAAGATGATCCCTCCATTGTACTGTGGTTTATTGGGGATCTCTAGACACTGCAACAAGACCAAAATTTGAATGATCAGAACAACTTTTCAACTTACATGTCTAAATGAACAAAGCATTGCTTGCCTCTATTGTTGCCGAGTAATCATAAGGTACGAATTTTTCTTCACATCCTGCATAAACGTTTCCATACAAAAATATGGTTTATATATCCCGGTGATAATAACTAACTGAGATTCGTATGGCATCTCATGTGGACGAACATAATTAAAAAGATATAACGCAGACAAAAATAACGAAGAATCTTATAAGAGTTGTATAAGACAATTTGCATATAATAAGAATAGTAGACTAAAATCATGAAATAAGATAGAGAACAACTTAATAGAGATAGACCGCAGAAGGCAAGCAGCAGGAGTAGAAGCTTCATTGCAGAACTAAATTAAGGGATCAATTGTTTTGCTCAAGATTAAGGATTTCCCATTAATATATAGATGGTCTTGGAATCACATAATTAACAAAATTATATCTTGACTAGAATGGCTATACTTTTACTTTTGCCTATTTAACCCATTTTTGCTCTCAGACCAAATATGGAAACCAAAATGTATTCAATGGGAATAAATTTCTAGTCAATAGTCAATACTCCACAGATAACTATTTGATTTTGATGAAAGACATTTCTGCAGATATTATTTTAAAATCAAATAATCGTAACACAATCTAACCTTTCCTTTTTTTCTGCTCCAACCTATATGGAAAAAAAAAAAAAGTGTTTTGATAAATTTCCATTTTTTTGCATCGCAACACAAAAGAACAACCCTAACGTTCCTTTTTCTTTTATAGTGATTTCCTTTTTTCTTTGATAATAACATTTTTAAATGAGGAAACGTTTCCTTAAATTTGGAGAAGCTTTCATGATCTGAATCAGTGGCAATCTCAGTGATAACCTCCGACGATGTGTGTTTTCGAAATTGGACTCACCGAGTTTCTTTATAGAAGTTTTGACGAATCAGCTCACGTAGAGCTGAACTCGGATGATGGCTCAACGAGTCATGAATCGTAGACGGATTAAGCAATTAATGCCTACCACACCAACGGCTAAAGGCAGCACCACCGTACCGTGACCTAGCCAATATGCTTTCTTTAGCTGCTCACATGCCAAAGAGGTTTCTCAAGCTAACAAATTTTAAGGCTTCATTAACAACTCAAAAGACTAAAAAGAGGTAGAAATATATAGTTCAAGACTGATAAGTTCATTACAATACAGAGGCTTGTAATAACCTAAACCAGTGATGCTCATGATCGGGCTGATGATTATAGCCAGCCCTTGGACACGGCTATGCAACCATATCTAGATTAATAACAAAAAAGACCATTCTTGACTAAGAATGGGTAGTTTTATACTTTGCTTCTTAAACACGAATAACTAAAGAGGATGGTTGAGTGTGTGATGAGGAGGAGACATCAGAAGTCGTGAACTTAAAGCTGTGAGATTCTTTTGAATTGGTGAGAGGATGAGAAATCTTGAGCTCATAGTCACCATGGAAGAGTGAAGCTTCAAAGAATCCATCAGAATCAGTGACCCCTGTGGTTTGTCTGCGGAACCCTCCCCATTCATGCACAAGTTTGTCCACCACGTCTCCGGTGGGTAAGTTCTTGAAGTTTCCATCGGTGAGGCACATTCTGTAGCAACCTGATGGAGAATAACCTGCCCAAGTCACTATTCCTTTCACTTGCGGATGCGCGTGGCCTTCCCTTAGGACTTGCTCATAATACTTGGCCTGCAAGAAAACCCAACATCAGACATCTAACAAGTTGATCATAAGAAACAGAGCACATATGACCAGATGGGAGTTTAGTTAACGGTATGTATTACCTGGACATTTGGAGGAGCATCTACGTCGACCTCAGTAAGCCATATAGGCAAACCAGTGGCACCAAGAGTGTCAAGAGCTGATCTCATATACGGAATGTTAGGAGTCTTGAAATGAGATTCAAGTCCAATCCCTAGAGATATGTTACCGCAAACTTGGATAGATTTAAGCTCCCTAAGCTTCTGCAGATACCTTGCTGGGCTAGAATCTGAATCCCTTGGTTCCTCTAATGTATTATATTCATTCATAAACTTGATGCTAGTTGGATCGACCGCTTGTACCATCTTATAGATGTTATAAGAGGCTTTAGGACCCATCCTGTTCTCAAAGAAGGAGAAATGAAGATTCTCATTCACAACGTCCCAACTCGCAACTTGGCCTTTGTATCGTGAAACCACAGAGATAATTCTTTGTTTCACGGCTTTGTAGAAGTCATGACCAGAGAGAGAATCTAGCCATTGAAGTTGATACTTAGGGTCGTTCCATACTATATTGTGGCCACGTACAGCGACCCCATGCTTCTTGAAGAAACTTAACATTGCGTCAGCGGTAGTGTAATCCTCTTTGCCTCTTGTATTTTCGGTGCTGTACCATTTCATCTCGTTGGCGAAAGTTGTCACTGTGAACCTTTGAGTGAACCAGTTCTGGTATGCTTTATCCCCAAGTATGTTCTTTTCTACCTCACACCCGAATGGGAATCCAAGTTTCTTCTGTTCTATGGTAATGGTCGCCTTTGGTATTGGCTCGCCTTTGCTGTTCACGGCTCTGATTCTCACGCTTCTCTTTCTCTCCTTCTGAATGCTTTGTTCCTGGTGAGAGTTCCACTCTTCTTGTGTAAATGGTTGCAACGAGACGCTATCAACCCAAATCTCAACCGTTGTGTCCTCGCTCTACACATGAACAATGGACAGGACTAAGCATTATTGCTAAAAACAAACTCGTGAAACAAACGCAGAAATTGATAAGAATTGAAAGTTTATAAACAATAGAGGCCATGAAACAGATACCTCAAAGTAGAGTTCAGCAGGGCCAGATTCATCAACAGTGAGACCACCCTTAAGCATGGACCAACACTTGGATTCAGCAACAAACGAACCAGCATGCTTATATTCACCGTTCTTCTTGAAGACGGCTTTTACAGGAGCCTTTCCTTTGCTTACTTGTAACCAAGCTAAGAGGACCATACAAACACATCATATCACATAATTGACACAAGTCCTATAAAATTCTAAAGAGTGTGATCCAAGAAACATAAAAACACAGTTATTTTATACCAGAGAAAGTGTAGAGAAGTCCTTTTTCTAAATAAACCTTTTGTGAGACACTGTCATAAGGTTGTCTCCTGTCTCGTGCAACAACGAAATTATGGTTACCAATTTCTCTGAAATCGACTTTTGCGTTTCCGAGTGGTGTCCAGCCTAGAGAACCATCTCGTAGGTCAGGATTAACGATGATTCCTCCATTGTACTGTGGTTTTAAAGGGATCTCTAGACACTGCACCAAAACAAAAAATTATAACTATCAAAACAAGGATTACAACGAACATGTCAGATAAATAAACAGAGCATTGCTTTGCCTCTATGGTTGCAGAATAATCATACGGCACGACTTTTGATTCACACCCTGCAAATATTATCATACTTAAACATTACCCTATTTTATTCCAATATAACATTAAAAAGTATATATAATTAGAGAAGATGGAGAACCACTTGATAGAGCAAGGCTGCAGAGGAGAAGCAACAGCAGACGCTTCATTTTGTGGAGTCAAAAGAACAAACCGATGATGATGAATGATATTTCCAAGTTTCTCTGCAGAACTTATATTGTATAACTTATGTGTATTGGTAATCTTTGCTATTCTTGATTCTTGATATACATTAAACTAAAAGAAGCTTTACTTTTAGACTTTAACAAATATTTACTATTCTGGACGCCCTTGATATGTATATTAACTATTATGAAAATTTTTACCGTCCAATTTTGGAAATAATAGTTCAAGATATTATCTAATAGCATATTATATTTTAGAAGAATTCAAGTATCATTGATTTACATATGCAAAATATAGTTAATAATCTTTAATCATTAGATACATAAACTATATATTAAATGATATCTAAAAAAAAGTTAATGTAAATTATTTCTATATATTATATTATTTATTATTTGGTTATTATATTATTTATTAGTTGGTTTAAGCATTGAATAATTCAGGAAATTAAATCTTCAAATGGATTTCAAATTATTGGAAGTTTCGCCGCTAGAAAACTACTATAACCACAAATATTGTAAGAAACTTCCGGATTAACAATTTGGAGTGACGATCAATATAGAGAGAATACATCTGATCAATTAAGCAAAGATAAAGATAAATTCAACAGCTCAAAAGCCTTGTAAAATGATTCAATGTAGATAAATCCATTACAAATATCAAAAGCTTAAAAGTTTTAAAAAACCCAAAAGACACGATGCTCATGAGTAGACATCATCGATCATCAACGGTACTGCAAAGAAAGGAAAAGAAACAAAACAAAATGAATTCATAATCTTTCCAAAGAGGATGAGACAAAGTAACTCGATGAATCATCAACATATTTATTTACCTTAATGAATCCGATTTCCTTGGCGTTGCTACGGAAGCACTGTCTACAGCAGTTGAGACCATACTTGCGGATTAGCCCGTGGGAGTTTCCACACACTCGGCTACACAAATCGAAGCTTATCATTAGATTTCACAAGAATCTATACTATACTAGAAAAATGAGAACCATTGATTTTGTTTCAAGGATATTACAAAACAATCTTATTCAACCAAGTAAAGGATTGAACAACTTTTTAACAAGTCAACTTAAAACTGAGAGGGAACATGTCAAAAAAAATTTGTTTACATGGAAACTAATATTACGATAAAAAAAAACATTATACATCATTATGCAGTGATTCACACAAAAGTTTGGCCCTTTTAGAAGAATGGGAATTTAAACTATGCTCTTCTAAGCTAATCTAGTATACTATTTATCAAGATCTTTATCAATTAGCTTAGAACAAGACTAAACAACCTAAAGCACAGTATCTTAAAACAAAATTTCATAACCAAAAAGTTTCAGATAATCAACAAGTAACAGGTTCAGAGGAAACATTTCTCTATTAATACGAATCAAAGACATGAGAAGAGGTCTAAGGCAAGCCGAATTTCTCAGAATTAAAACAAATTCTGGAGGAAAACGAGGGAAGGGAGAGTAAGATGATAAAAAATTACCAGGTGCGAGACCCCGGACCATATTTCTTCGGATGCGAGTTCCACACGTTGGAGTGACCCATGATGATCCTCGACTGCTCTCTGCTCACAGCTCAAACCTAATTTGGTTGAAGAAGACGATAGTTGTGCGGCGAGAGCGAGGGGATTATGACCAAATATTTGTAAACCCTAGTTTCATAAAGTATCTATGGGCCTTATATTTATGGGCCAAATTACAAGGCCTATCTAGACGTCTAGCCCATTCTGAAATCACTGATCTTATTCTCTCTTTCTTTTTTTGTTTGTCAATAATTACCCGTAGTACCAGACACTCTCTATGGATTACTGTAATGGTTACAACAATGAGTGAACTCAACTTTATTTATATGCCATTCTGAAAATCAAACTCACAGCCCTGATATTCAGTTTCTACAACTTCGAATACTTTTCCATCAAAATCAATTTTAATCAACAGAACTCTAAACAAGGGGAGTTCACTATAGTGGTAAAAGAGAGATCAGTTCCTAGGCAGGACTTTTGAGCATGTTGTCCTGACTTGACCGAGCGGACCAGTCAAGACATGATAACTTGATAGTTTCATCATAGACATGGCAAAATCTCGGCGGAACAAGGACGGATCAGAAGCATATGCTCTCACCCACAACTCAGTCTCTTCACTACCCATTAGCTGCTGATCAGAAAACAGCAACCCTTTCTTCTCCATCAGTCTCTTGTAGTAGCGTGTTCCAAAATTTTCATCACCTCCTTCATTGTTGTAGCTCAAGTCGATCTCTCCGTCGTTCCTGTTTCCTGAGCTCTCACCATAGCTGTTTTCGGAATCTGATGCAGGTAAGGACGAAACTAAACCTGCCCCAGGGGATGCAGATGGTGATGAAGCCGAGACAGAGAAGGGGCATTTGGTTTTCAGTTCTTCGAGGAGCCTTGGATTGAGATCAGGGTCAGGCTTCCCGGTTCCTGAAAAGTTGTACAGGCGGCTCTCAAAAAATGTGCAGTGGGTAACGCCAATGCTGTGTGCACCTGCATTAGGAACATTCAGAACAAAAGAATCATTAGGAACTTGCAGAACAAACAAATCATGTCACAAAGAGTTAAGCTAAGCAGAGAGAGATGTTGACATATAGAAGTGAGATATTACCGAATAAACTGACGGTTTCTCTCACGCTGAATCCTCTGGAAGCAAAACTCGCAAGAATCACAGAGAGAGTGGCCTGTGGTGGTGGAAGCTGGTCTTGCGCAATTTCCTTGAAGGCCACTGCACTGTCTTTTCTTCCAGTCTCCAGAGGATAAAATGGACCACCAGCCTGAAAGTTTCAAAGACATGATTAAGCGTTGCAGAAATACTAACATGGGTAAACCAGAAGAGTGAGAAAGGCGAGATGTACCACAATCACGGCTTCTCTAGCAGCCAAGACAAGAAGGTCAGCGCAGGAAACAACTCCAGGACAAACATTCTCTAGCTCAGACTTAATGGCGTCAATCACATCAAACCCTTTCAAGGACAGGTTAGGGGATGCTTCTTTCTCAGAAGTAACTGCTTCATCTGCGTCTAGAAGGACTGATGCATCACATCCCTGTAGCCCAAAACACAATTCCCCAGTTGCAACATGAGCCAAAAACTCCAAGAATGCTAAATAAGAAATAGAATATGATTCACAGAGTATCAAACACACATAACTTCTTATTCAAGATTGAGAAATAAACAGTCCGATTCAAATTGTAAAGCTAGAAACTCAAGAAATGCGCTGAAGTAAACATAGAATCTGGTTCACAAAGTATACTAACAACATCAAATCAGAGCATCAAACACATAATTTCTGCAAATCCATAGCCAAGATTGAGAAACAAAAAGCGGATTCCAATTACGGAGATAAACTTAAATCTGAAACAGAGAGATCACAATACAATACTCCCTAAACAAGATCCCAAATAATCCATAGATCTCAAGTAGCGACGAGAAAGGGGAAGCTAAAGATCAGAAGAAGTTACCTCGATGAAGCAATCGTGAAAGAGCAGACGGATGAGAGACGGAGCTACGCTGGGTTTGACATCGTAGATATCTCTGATGGATTTAGCGATGATTTTCTCGGCGGAAGGGCAAGAGTCACGGTAGTAATCGTAGTGGAGGGAGTGAGATCGATCGATATCTTCAGCGATGGACATGAACATGAAATCATCGCCGATGAAAAGTTTCTCGGAAACCTTACCGCCGGTACGATTCTCCTGGAAATTGCCGTTTCCAAACTCGATGCGGTAAAACGCGATGTAGATGCTGAGAGCGATGACGGAGCAGGTAAGTAAAGCGATCTTGTAGCCTCCGAGATACCTCATTCTCGTCTCTCCTTCTTCTGATCTTGTTCGTCGGCGATTGTGATTTTGTGAACTATCTTTCTCTCTCTCTCTCAATGGGGAACTGAGATTTAAGATGATGATAGTGAGCAAAAGGAGTGAAAGAAGCGGGAAATCTATCGAATTTACGGATATGCCCTTGGTCCACGTGGTGACGGTTCGGCGTTTGTTGCAGACGGTTAAGTTTTTGTGGTACAGTCGAACGAATCATATAGTTCGCGAGGGAGCTGTGATCTGGTATTTCGCGAAACACGGTAGATATCGTACTCCCGTATATTAATTAAGTAGCCAAATCATTTTGTTTCTTATGAATATGGAAGGGGTTTTTTAATAGCTGTCATATAGTATTTCAATAAATTATTTGATTGTTTCGTGTAAAATTATAAATTGTGAAGTTGGGTATATTTTAGTGAAGGCTCAAACTTGAGCTTAATTATTATTCCAAAATGTAATAATATATGTCGAACTTAAGAATAACAAAAAAACGAGATGAAAAAAGTATAAACTATAGAATTGAAACAGTCGTCATTTATGGGCTCTGTTGCCAAACTATGAATTTATAAAAATAATATTTCTACAATTTATTTGAAATTTATTAAGATAATCAAAGTGTATATGATATGAGAAAAACATTATAAGACTTGTTCTTACTTTGGAATGCTATATAAATTGTAATTAACAGACTAAAACATATTTTTTTGTAGCTGTTAGCATCAAAACAAGATTCAACCGGTTGACAAAACAATAAAAAGAATACAAGAATACTGTGAACCACAAGTCAACCAGTAATTTAAGAAGTGACCAAAAGCCAAAGTCAAATTCTATTTTAATAAAACTATCACGTCAATTTCACAACTTCTTATAGCGGCCAGTTTTACAATTTTGCAGCATATTTATATTTGTTATATGATATTACTTTTATCTATCAATCTAAAGGTTCAATATATCGTTTGTTTCGTTTTCTTGCAACAATTTACTTTAGTGGCTTTGATATGTTGGTAAACATTTTTCAGGCGGTCAAGACATACATTTAAATGTAGTGCAAATATGTAAAATATGTAAATAAAAACTAAGACATACATTTAAATGTAGTGCAAATAGCAAAACCCCTAAATTTAAAGTTAGAATAACGTTGTAAACCAATAGTTTTCAATATGATTTTATTAATTTAGTAGAAATGAAATTCAAATATCTGATATTGATTGCCATGAATAAGATTGATTGCGATTATATTCTTAGTGGAAATACTTGGATATGCTATTTTAGTTACTATATAATGTTTTTTGACAAAAAAAAAACTCATTCAAAATCTTTTTATATCATATATTAATTCTTGGCAAGCTAGGTATAGTTGATTTATATTTATATTAGATGGTCTAAAGTCTAAACACAGCTATATTGCATGGGAACAATTATATTGTACTAAAAAAAAGTCCGACTGTGGAAAATCAAATACGCAGAATCAGTACTGAATATTCCGTTTTTAATCATAAACTATACACAAATAATGAATTGGTCTTATAGTCTTATACTTTCTTATTCATGAATACGTGTGAGAATGAATATACATAATTATGCGGTCGAATTTTAAAGTTGTCATAATTTATATTTCATCCTTAATTTATACAAACAAATGTTCGTGGAGTGAGTTCTATGCAGATTAATTGAGAACTTGCTTTTCACACCACAACTAACTTTGTAAAAATAGTTTTTTTACTCAACTTTTTTTTCTTGCAAGTTGTAATTTTCTATGAACTGAACTTAACGTTACACAAAAAAAAAAGGAACAAAAATACAGCTTAAATTGTAAATATCACACACATTTCCACAATAAGTATGAATTCATAAAAATTAATGAACTAGCATACAAATAAATTCAGTTGTATCCATTCTTTACTCTCAATGACTTTGTGAAGTAATATTGCTTAATTAGTACGTAGGACATATTCAACTATTTGCCAAACCTCAGTTTCCTTTGTCATATCTCTCCATATAATTAAGTATTATTTTAATTATACACTGATTAAACATTATCAATTAAATAAATGGTAACCACACGTTGAGTTGATGACGATGAGATTAAATGTATGATTGGAAAGATGGATTGGAAATGTGATACATAACAAAAATATAAGAAAATCGAATGTGAGTGTCCATTTCTCTCATATATATTGAACATCGATCGTACGAGAAATTATAATCGAACTCGTCCGAAGGCGGAGAATATTAAAAAAGAAAAAGAATAATGATACATTTTTTGAATATGTATATGAACAAAATCCAACTAAAATCACAAATTAGTGTGTGAATCATCTCGGTGAGCTGAGACCAATGTCCATCCCGTTGAAAGCAATCGGCGCATACATCCATAGATCATCAGAGCTCAATAACTGCATGGTTAATTTTATATATTAGTTAGGTCATTATCATATAACACATGCATGAATAATGAATTAATGTACAAAGGTATATAAAACGTTTGTAATTTAATTTAAACGACCATTGCGTACCTTAATTTGGAGCTGCAAAAATTTGACGTAATGAACTGCTTCCTCAAGCATCGTACTGATATCAACCTATTACGTATTTAAGAAATTATATATGTTTAGAACTTTCTTTATAACATTTAAAATTGCATATAAAGAATGTTTAACGTTTGCATGACTTTTTTTTTTTTTTACCTTGGTTCCATTAGGGACGAGGTTTTGTAAAATCCTTAGTCTCTCGTTAATCCTTTCTCTTCTTTTCTGTAAGAGAAAAGAACACCCCGATTAATTGTCTTACTTTTAAGTATATAGACACAAGAGACATTTTCATTCTTCATAGATTTAACATTTTATTGTGATAAAGGAAAAAACCGAATTTTGAAAATATTTGGCAATGTCTTAACTATTTAGTTAAGAAATAATTAAAATGAAACATACCCTTGCGTAGAGGCTTTGAGGGTCGGTGGCTGCACCACGACTGGCTCTTGTTTTGCCATTGAGGTTGAGGGCCTTTGAGGGATCTTCGTCCTTGGAGGAGGAGTCTTCTCCTACACCGTCTTGATCGGCACAGTTTGATTCTTCCTCCGAACAGAAAGTGGTGCTTGAGTTCTGTCGGCTCATCATTGCCCCATTCTTTCTTTTTTTCAACTTCTCTCCTTCTTCCTCTTCTCCTCCGTTGGTATCCCCACTTATATCTATGCTCTTTTGTCCCTTCTTGTTCACTCTTGCTCTCTTGTTTTTCTGAGTCCATAGCAAAACCGTTTATATTATTAGACTAATAATTATAAAGCTATCTAATTAGTTTTGTCTCATAACTTGAAACCTAAGTTAAAACAGGTAAAAGATTTACATCAGTAGATGTGGCGCGGGACCTCTTCTTGGAACCGGTGAGAGATTTTTGATGTTCAGTAGTAGTCACAGAGATCTCAGATTGCATCAAGCTTTCCTCATCATTGCGGTTCTCCACTACGGTTTCCAAAGGCAAAAGATTCTTTCCAGAAGAGTATTTCTCAACGTCACACTCACTTGTCTCCTCACCTACAAGGTAAGAGTTTGTGTTGATGGTCACATCTTCCATCCCAAAGTCCATTGTCCCATTTTGGTTCTCTTCAGCCGCGGGTGGAACCACGGTGTAGTATCCGCTGTTCCCCGCGCTGTAGCTGCTGCTCTCCTGAGAGAAGCAGAAACTACCGGCTTCGGACACGAGGCTAAGGTGGTTCTGATGAGAACCAAGACCCCAATACAAACCTTGGTGGTCACCACCGGGTGTGCCAGAGGATGATCCCGTGCCTGGATGATCATAGGAGGCAAGAAGCTGGTTCATGAAATCGGCCTCCTCGGTTGCATAATTGTACATTCCTCCGAGGTTGTTGCTCCATTCTCCCATGGCTTCCATTTTTCTCTTTTGTATTTTGGTTAATTAATTAAGAGATTAATCTTAATTAAAAGTAAAGATTGTTAGCTTTTTATTTTGGTATGTTGTGGAAAGCCTTGAGAGAAGTGAGGGAATGATGGGGATGAATTGTGATGTATATATAGAGAACATGAGAGTTAGTGGATAAATGTCAACACACACAAATGACACCAGTTACGATCATCTCTTTCTAATTTAATTGCATAAAAAAAAAAAACCAAGTCTGGAGGATACCATTAGATATGGACAGCTAATTACGGTGGGCTCTACAACTTGGTCATCAAACATATATAATAAAGTTAATACTTTGCTTTTGTCGTTTGTCGTATATGATGAATCTGCGTTCTCCGCTTGTTCATTTGCTTTACCAATATGTTAAGTACACCATTATAATTAAGTTTAAAAGAAATAGACTATATATAGTTGGTTGATATATTAATTCATGACCAATATGATCACATATGATGACATGATTGTGGACCTTTGTGCCTTTGTGCCTTGTATTCATAGCATGCATGTTTGGGATTAAAAAAAAAAAAAGATGGAGTAGCTCATTAGATTTCTCGACTTTGATGATGTCGAATAATACACCTTTATATACAGTTTTAGTTAGCATGGATTAGGTTTCCATTTTATCAATGCATCCGACTAAAGATAGATAAATTTATTAGCAAAGAGGTTTCGCAAATTCACTTTCAAAACATTACATAATTAATAAATGGACTGAAATCTCAAGATCGTATAGTTTGAACTAATGAGTTCTTTGCACACAACTATTCTGGGGACACTAAACTTACGGTCGTCGGACCACATAAAATGCTTCCTAACAACGTCAATCCATTGAGTTTAAAAGTTGAGTATCGATACAATACAATCAGTTCCCATATAGTTCAGCCTGCCATGATATATGAATTTTTTTTTTGTTTCAGTAGTCAAGTAATATTTTTCTCCAGTATTCTACAAATCGTCAGAATATTCCTATCTATTGATAAAATATATAGGTGTATTATATCTTAAACTAAAGTTCTTCATAATGATACAAGGTATTAGACGATTTTTTTTTACTTTACAAAACTAACAAATAATCAAAGAAACGTTTTGGTCTGATTAAGAGTGGAGAGAATTATATATTCCCATTTCACCAGCTGAAAATATTTATAGATGCAAGTAGTTTGCCTGTAGGATTTCTAGAGAAAATAAACTATAATACATACTCCTAAACATTAGGAAAGATATATATAGAAATATGTACATTACTCTTTCCACTTTTTCAATATATATGTATATATATATATATATATGTTGTCAGCTGTGTTTTTTCCGAATATGCACTGGATAAATTATGTGCTAATATTTTAAAAAATACTTTACAAAATCATGCATACTCTATATGGACATAGACGGCTAGCTAGACATTTGGTTCTCGTCTAGTCGATGATTAAATCATGTAAAACTCTAGCCTTGAACCGATCAACGGCGGATTAGAGGAACGAGAGAAAAAGGATTGCATTTGTCAATAGTACTTGGATTATCCTAGTTTCAAGTTGTAATAAGTTTATAAACTATATCAAAGCCGAAATAACATAACGGAAATATTTCGACAAGAAGCCTAATTCACTTTTAGGTCAGGTTGATGCAAAATTAGAAACAACAATAATTTATGTAGCTATATTTTGGAAAGCGCGTGACCTAAAATTAGAAACATACTATTTTTCGTTGCTTTTTGTCTTTGTGATACTATTTACCCTATTTAATATTTTTCTCATATAGTAATTAATCGTGTTTCTATGAAACATCTAATAATTCTACAACTAATTTATGCAATTAAGTAAATAAAAGCTCTTATATGAAGTCAAATTTATCTTCTACTTGGACACCAAAATTTGACGTCATAGAACATTGATTTCATCAAAAGTAATTAATTCATACAAATATAAACAAATCGAGAGCTCTTTCTCTCTCGTTTTTTTTTTTTGGCTTAAGTTGTCAAGTTCCATGGATACAGGATACGCATAGCTTTGCAGCAGAAAAGAAGGCCGGGTTTATGAGTTGGAGAATGAGAACGAAAGAGAGAGAGAGAGATGTGAAGTGGGAGAATCAAGAGACCTGGTTGTTGAACGTGACAGTTTTTGTGTCATAATATTATTTTAAAAATGAGAAAAAAAAACGAATGAAACTGAGTTATTTGGATTAACTATATATATATATATATATTAAAGTAAATAATTGATTAGGTTGAGTCAACCACCGGACGGCCGGCAGATCGTGCGCGTGGAAAGTCCAAAAGCTCCATAAGCCATTCTTCTTATTTTACAAGGACGAATGAAAAAACCTCACACACTCTCTCTCTCTCAGTTAATGTCTCTTTTTTTTTTTTACATTTTGATCTCTTGTTATGACTTATGAGTTTAGACCAAGTATATTTTAATTAACTAGTGCTATTCATATTTATGTCAAGAAAAAAGTGTAAAAATGGAACACTGTACCACTATCCTGTATATATCTCATGAATCACAGTTTATTCTCCACAACTATTATTAACAATGGTGTCAATTTGTGCATCAGTGATTTTCAGAATAATGCTTTTGCTAAAACAGTTAAATGATTGTTTTCCATGATTTTAAAATTACAATTTATACTGCTTTGTGAAAGTGTACTTACATGTAGGCTGTTATTCTGAAAATCACTAATAAACTAGAATCATGCATGTGCAGTTTTGTTTTTTGGGGGTTAAAATTGCAACGTATTTACAATCGCAGACCAGCCGAGAATTTTTTTTTTTTTTTTCTTAAGTCCGTGTAATATTTACTATGTGATATTTATGTCCGCAGACTATTTGTAACAATTATACATATCCTCAAACATCTATTTACTTGATAACCATCTATCTCCAGAATATTCTTGCATGTAGAGAAATTGTTAAAAATAATTTCTCATATGCGTGAGTTCTCAGTTCTCACAAAAGTAATTTGTGGAATTTGGAGCCAAAAAACCTATTTGAACGAACAAACATAGGCAAAGAAAGGTGACAAAGCTGACCATTTTCGCCCACGATAAGATCACGATTTTGAAAACGGTCGTTAGTTAGTCAATTACCTAAACAACACTATAGGAGATCAGCTAAAGTTGGGTTGTTTTCTTAAATATCTAAAGTTAGGTGAATATGACAGTTTCCTAGGAAGATTATAATCGTTAATATCCTTATAATTTAGAATCTTAACCTCTTTGGAGTATGCAGGAATCACCAAAGAGATTATATAAGCTTTTGGGTGACTGTTTGGGAGCTAAATGACGTAATTAAAAAAAAAAAAAAACAAATCTCGACCCTTATGCATAACTAAATTGTATATACATAGTTTACACAATCAATTCTAGGTAAACCCGATCTTTAGCTAAGCTAGACAGCTAATTTTGTATGCTTTACGAAATACTAAGAGACAATAATATATATAAACCCTTACTGTATAAACTCAGTAAACATTTATGCAATACAAAAAAAAACATGATGCATGACGTTATCAAAGTGGAATGGAAAATTTAAGGATAGTACAAATGGAACCCCAAAAAGGATAAGAAATATATAGAAGTACATATAAAGAAGAAACTGCCAGAGTTTCATAAATTGATCTTATAGAGTACCTATGTATTTTCAGTATCATTCGCTACATGTACATTATGAATAAATTTATGTATTTTTTCCCCCGGATTCAGTAGAATAAAATCTGTGAACAGCTCGAGGAAAGACCAAATTGGGTAATCAGATCTGAATTCTTCATATACTAATGATTATATTAGATTAAAATTATATTGCTTTGAACTATATAGTTACTCAGTATTTTGTTTGCGGGGAGATTAATTTTTTTTAAAGCAATCCTTGCCCGCACGACCAAACATTATTTGCATATCAAACAAGTATTATTATTCTTTTCCGCAAAATAAAATAAAAAGAAGTAGTATTATTATACTTTATTAATTTAGTTGCAGTTTCTTTGTTGGGTAGTTAGCTGGCAATTTGATGCCCCCTTAAGATTTTTTTATTTGTTCAAAGCCAAAACGACCAGTTTTTAAAAAACCTTCATAACATTGTCGTTTCAGTTAACATGGACGCTATTTTGTAATTCTAAACCTAGTTACATTTTTCTTCTTGTGATACTTATTTTATGGATATTAATCCTAGAGAGCTAATGCCGGAACTTATTATTGGAAGAATAGAATTCCAATCTTAACTTCTTTGTCTTTTCCAGTTACGAAGAATTTTTTATTTAATGTTTATCTTGCAATGTTACTTAAATAGTTTATATACATTACATATAAATAAATTATTATTTTTTTATTTTTTTTATATCAAAATATTTTCGTATGCGTGAAAGTCTATACAGTCTATACAAGAGGACGAATGAAAAGCTACTATATAGTCTCAAATTGCTTACGTACATCATGTATAATCGTACAGCAAGGTTAGTCTGCTATTCTCTCTACGATGAACAACATTAATTATCTCTCGATGAGTCATATATAGTTAACTAGAGTAACCAGCCTAGCAATATGAAAAATGTAATTCTGTAAAAATGTGAAATATATTCATAGTGCGTATAAAAATCTAGTAAGTAAAAAGTAAACGAACATTGTCTTACAACGTTAAACCTCTTGATTCTTAAGAACCGTTAATCATTGCTGGTGTCAAACTAGGTCTATATTTCCAGCGTTCATAAGAAAAAAAAGGAATGACATGTCTTTTGATCCGGTCATCGGATTGGTTTATGTTTATTTGCCTATGGAAACTAATCTTTTTACTACCTTATTTGCCAAACGTCTAGGAATTGGAAGATTGATGAAAATAGCGATTTACGTAGCTCCTTTCCTATTATTACAGATCATGAAAACAACACTATTTCGCGGAAGTTAATTAGTATATCATGGAGTCATTAGTCATTAGTGAAATCTTCAGAAAACAAGAGTATTATAGTTTGGGATAATGAGGT